CTCCTGGTCCTCTGGATTTGGGGTAAGCAGGGCCTGAGGAAAGCTCGGAGCAGAGAGGTGTCCAGGTGCATGAAGGCTCTGTGACGTCACAGAGGTGTGATGGAGAGGAGGGAGGTGCTCAGTGTCACGGAGAGCTCCTGGGGCTTTCCCCGCGAGGGGCTCTGCGACAGACGTGGACGCAAAAGGGTGAGGGAAGGGAGGGAGAGGCTTCCGGAAGTTCAGGCCACCGACTGCAAATCAGACTTCTGAATGCAAGTGTCAAGTTCTCGTGGAGACGGCACCGCAGGGGACCCAGCTGATATCTGGGTTACATTTGTGACGTAGATTGACTCCCTTCCAGACAAGACAGAGGCAGGATGCACATCAACAAATTACATGAACCGGAGAGCCCATCTTCCTTGAACTTGCCATCCTCTGGCGACCCATCTGTCTTCTCCCTCCTCACATGAAACTTAGGGGCGCTTGGTGAAGAAAACTTACTCCCCCCGCAGCCTGGGAACAGCAAGAGATTTGGGATGTGAGTCTGTTGAAGAAGGAATGGCCTCTAAGCTCCCGGGGGAACAGAACCACGTCTCGATGCCGCCTGTACCCACCTTCGTCTCCTTAATGCAGAGAATGGAGAGTTGATGGTAATTCACGCCCATGCACGGAAACATACCCTCATCTCTATGTGCTCTTGCTGTAAGTTGCTGGGACCACCATGGGGCTCCTGGGAGTCGTGCAGAGACAGCCGGCTATCCATCAGGGATGGGCACTCCCTTCCAAGCCGTGGAGCCTGTACTGGGAATTGCTTTTCCAGGCAGGGGTCACATTTCCCAGCCTCCCTGTAACTAGGCAGGGTCAAGTGACTGAGTGATGGACAGAACAATGTGGGCAGAGGGATGGATGTCACTCCAGTGCTATGACTGCAGACCCTCCCCCAGGACAGCAGACCCTCCCCCCTGGTGACAGCGGGTGTTTATCGCTCACTGGGGAGGCACTTTGACCTGTTTCTTCATATGTGCACAGGGTGGGGAGAGGGCGCTGGCATCATTCAATCCTTTCTCCCCCAGGTCCAGTGTCTCATGGAACATCCCGGATGCAGCCCTGGGGAGTTACTTCCCTCTCATTTTCTCAGAGTGTAACGCTTACCTGGGGAAATCTCCCGGAGAAGAGCTCACCTTCGCAGTGTCTGGAAGGTGCCCGATGCCGGTCATGGTGAGCTCCGTCCCGGGACCAAGCTGCCTGCATGCATGGCTGGTGGTGGCACTATTCTGCCTGCCTTACTGCACCTGAGCTACAATCTCCCTGGTCCTTTAGGAAGATGACTCACTGCTCTGACGCTTGGTGGACGTCTCCCCTATTTCAGGGGGCATGAGAGCAGTGGGGTGGGGGGCGCGGAGAGAGGATGGGGTCTCCTGGGTCAGGGTCCCACCTGTCAACTGTGCTCTCTCAAAACAAATTGGCCGCGGGCGCCTGGGGGCTCAGTCAGTTGAACATCCAACTTCAGCTCAGGTCATGATCTCACAGTTTGTGGGTTCAAGCCCTGTGTTGGGCTCTGTGCTGACAGCTCAGAGCCTGGAGCCTGCTTTGATTCTGTGTCTCCCTCCCTCTCTGCCCCTTCCCTGCTCATGTTCTATCTCTGTCAAAAATAAATAAATGTTAAAAAAAAATCAGCCACTAGAACCCATATTCCTACTGACCCCCGCGGGCTGGTACCCTACCCACTCTCATTGCAGATGAGGATCTGGGGGCTAAGTCACATTGCTAGTGCGAGTCAGCACCGAGGTTGAACCCTGTTTTCAAAGCCTGTGTGGACATGTATGGGTGTGTGTGCACTCATGTGCTCACATATGCATTCACACGTGTGCGCACTCACATGTGTGTGCGTGCAAGGGGAGGTGTGCACGTGGGTGTGCACCTGGAGATCGCCTCGCCTCCTGAATTCCAGCAGCCCTTACGTGAGTGGCTGACCTGGCAGACCTATAGCAACACGTGCTCGGAAATTCAGCGAAGCCCCCGAATCCCGCAGGCCTTGTTGGGGGGCAGTGGGGAGGTGCTCAGGGAAGCCTTCCAGGAGCAGAAGGAGCTCGGAGGACAGTGTGCCCTTCTGAATGTCAGTGCCTGGGCCTCACGGCCCCAGGCCCCAGCACGGGAGAACACCCCCCGCCCTTCAGTGGCCCAGGGGCCTCTGACCGGGTCAGGTGTGAAGTTCAGCACCTCCCTGGGCCCAGGGGAGTCCGCCAGCCTGGCTTCTCTGCCGGCAGCCATCCTGGCAAGGTGGCACAGCCTGGGGTCTGCAGAAGGACCCCTCCCCCCCCAGGTGCCAGCACCCGGAAAAAGCCTTCCCAACCACCTCCTTTATCAGCCCTGCCCGGGTGGTTCAGTAAATGACTCCTCTGGCCACACCGAAGGCTGGTGCTTCTCAGGGGCCCCATGGGGACAGAGGTGTCGGGTCACCGCCTCTGAGGCGTGCGGGCCTGCTCAGATGGTTCGGGGCTGCATCTCTGAGCACCTCCCCCCTGTCCTGGAGGCTGGGTTGGTTTCCCTGCTGCAGGTTATTTGGTTATTTACAGGAGAACATCCATTCCTACCCCCTTGGGCTGGAATCCCAGCCCTCAGATGGGACAGAGGCCGTGGGGCTGGCCTTCAGCCTGCTGTCGGAGATGTGGCCTCCCCAAGCTGCCGTGTGACTGCCTGTCTCCCACTCCCGCCCCCAAAGCCAAACATTTAAAATGATCCTGATTTAATTGGGCTAATTTAGGAGGAACGGCAGCCGCGACTTCGCTCGGGTTGCTGAGTCTCATTGAAAGACACGTTAATATTCTGATTCCAAGAGGGATCTGTGAATTCCTCAGTTACAGATAATACAATTATATTTCTAAATTCTTCCCCTAAATTAGTACAGATGGTTAAAAATACTCTCGACTTTTAATTAATCTTCCCGGCAATAGTCTTATGAATACAAATGGATCATTATCCCCTTCAGCAGATGGGGCTGGGGGTGGGGAGAGTCAGAGCCAAGTCCCCAGCAGGTCGCCAGGCCTCAGGGAGGTCCTGGGGCTATAGTCCTGGGGGTGGAAACGGGGCCCCCAACACAGTCCTCTCATTTCCTGCCTCCTGGGGTCTGCTGGGCCTGCCATGGTGACTTCCGTCTCTCGGGGGGGAGGGGGGGCTGGGAGAGCTGCCCTTTGCCCACCGACTGTCCGAGGGTCCCTTTGGTTGTGCAAGGGAGCTTTGAAAGGACCCAGATGTTTCCTTAGTTATGAGGCTGCTCTGCCCAACCTGCGCTTGTGTGCACGTGTGTGTGTGCACATGTGTGTGCACGTGTGTGTGTTCTAAAGAACTTTGCGTTGGGTGCCATAACTGAGTCTTTTATTGTCTGTTTGTGAGTCTGTCTACCTTGCAGGCATCTCTGGCTTGTTCTTTGTGTGCCCAGAATCTAACACGGGGCTGGCCCAGGCTGGATCCAAGGGCTTGTTGAAATTAGCTGTGCTTTGAAATTCAAAGCCAAGTTTCCGGGACTATGTCAAAGTAAAATCCTCCTGTGCATCAGAGGATACTAATGACAGAGTAATATGACAATGTCACAGAATGGGAGAAAATATTTGCAAACTACGTAACTGATAAGGGGTTAGTACGCAGAATATATAAAGAACGCCTATAACTCAACAACAATGAACCAAACAATCCTATTCAAAAAAAGGGCAAAGGATTTGAGCAGACATTTCTCCAAAGAAGACGTACACATGGCGAGCAGACACATGAACAGATGCTCGCCGTCGCTGGCCGTCCGGGAAGTGCAGATCTGCACGACAATGAGATGCGACTTCACACGCATCGGGTGGCTATAAACAACAAAAAACAAGTGTTGGTGAGGATGTGTAGAAACTGGGCCCTTGTGCTGTTGGTGGGAATGTAAAATGGTGTAGCCGCTGTGGAAAACAACCTGAAAAAATGAAAAATTACTATACGATCCCGCATTTCCACTCCTGGGCATAAATACACCCTGAAAATCAAAAGCAGGGACTTCAACAGGTGTTTGTACACTCACGCCTGTAGCAGTGCCGTTCATAATGGTTAAACTGTGGTGGGCGCCTGGGGGGCTCAGTCGGTTAAGTGTCGGCTCAGGTCATGATCTCGGCTCAGGTCATGATCTTGTGGTTCGTGGGTTCGAGCCCCGCGTCGGGCTCTGTGCTGACAGCTCAGAGCCTGGAGCCTGTCTTTGGATTCTGTGTCTCCCTCTCTCTCTGCCCCTCTCCTGACCACGCTCTGTCTCTCTGTCTCTCAAAAATAAATATTAAAAAAAATTAAAAACATTAAGAAAAATAAAACTGTGGGAGCAACCTGGGTGCAGGCCCACACAACGGAATACCATTCAGCCTTAGGAAGGAAGGAAATGCTGACACGCGCTCAGTGAAATAAGCCAGTCGCGGAAGAACGATACCGTATGATCCTGCTTCTATGAGGAGTCTAGGGTGGTCAGATCCACAGACAGAAAGTGTCAGGGTGGGTACAGGGCGGGTGCAGAGGGGCTATGGAGGGGGTGGGGTTCATGGGGCATCAGTCTGGAGATGGATGAGATGGTGAGGATGACAGCACAGCCACGTGAACGTGTTTGATGCCACTGAGCTGTGCACCTAAAAATAATTATGGTGGCAAATTGTACGTGTATTTTGCCCCAGTTTAAAAGAGGACAAATTCCCTTGTCAAGAGCCTGGCTCTGGATCCAGCTTCTTGCTGATGACAGGCCAGGGTGACCAGACATCTCCTGGGGACGGTGGGAGATGGGGACCCCATCAGATATCCAGGGTGGAGGTTCTCTCTAAGCTGACTTAGCAAGGCTCCTGCTATGCCGGACGAGGCAGGCCCCACGGGGTGGGCGAGGGGGAGCCCTACAGCCTTGGGGGAGGCAGAGGGGAGTTCAGAGTCTTTGTGAAGGCACATCAACTCCGAGAGAGGTCTCCTCAGCCTAGACCTGCCTGCCTGTCTGTTCAGGGAACTGACCCATTGAAACGGGTGGGCTGCAGGCGGATGCTACCTGTCTGGCGAAATGCTGTTTCTTCCAGGTAACTCATCCCAGAAAACTGCTTCCTGTCTCCCATAACCAGCTCCGCAGAGCCTCACGCCTGGGAGCTGCCCAGTCCTGCTGCACTGCTCTCTGGGCCCCGCACGGTCAAGGCCAGTGGGGGTGCACCTCTAGGATCAGAGCTGAGCTGTGGCTCCCGGGAGCGAAGTGTGGGGAGGGCCGGGGCTTCAGAAGGTCGAGGTTGGCAGTGCTCGGGGCCAGCGTGTGCTGGTGATGTGAACCAGCCGGCTCTCGGGCAAATGCGTGCACACCTGTGCACACAAGTCACCGCGTGTTTTACTGACGGATGCGCAGCACACTGTTTACAAGTAAGAATACAATATACACAGCCTTTACTGTAAATTCCATATGGTCAATTGATTCTTGCAGATTGCTGTTGCTGATTTTTGCCAAACTCCCGTATTATTCATAATCAACCACGCTTGCCGCGCTCCGACACGATGTTAGCTCATGCTTTTGTTCATGCTGGTGAGTGAGACAAAGCTACAACCACAGAGCTGCATGTCTGGACGTCACGTCTGCCGACGATGTGAGTGATTTCTTTGCTGAACCGGATGATGGTTTTCAAACACGGGGAGGATATTTCTTTCCTCAGCTGTGTTCTCCACAATGTAACTAACGAGTACACTCACAACTCACTTCCAGGTTTAACCTGCATCAGTGACACTTCGTCATTTCTCAGTCTAGAAAATCTGCGAGACAAGAAGTCAAGCCTTGATGTGTAGTGGTGGCCAATTTCCGTGGTGTGATTTCCGTGATCTCAAGCTCCTCGTGGGGACGTCGTGAGACGCAGGGCTGGGAGCAGGTGGGCAGTAAGGCCCGGCCGTGTGGCCCCCCCCAGGCACACCCGGTACCCTCGAGGGCACAGAGAACGGTAACGTGTGGTAAACTAATTAGGGAGCGAGGAATTTTGAGTCCTTGTTACTTTTGTTTTTATTATAATTAAAAAAAAATTTTTTTTAATGTTTTATTTTTGAGAGAGAGTGAGACGGAGCACGAGTGGGGGAGGGGCAGAGAGAGAGGGAGACACAGAATCTGAAACAGCTCCAGGCTCTGAGCTGTCAGCACAGAGCCTGATGCGGGGTTCGAACGCACAAACCATGAGATCACGGCCTGAGCCAAAGTCGGACGCTTAACTGACTGAGCCACCCAGGCGCCCCTGTTTTTATTATAATTTAACTGTGAATCTATGCACTAGATTTTGTAACAATGGCTGTGTTTTAACAACTGGCTCCTACAATCCCTGAAAATTTAACATGAGCTCCTACCAGGAGGAGCGAACGGGCTCGAGCACCCCCTGCAGGCTCCCTTCCGCCACCTCCCAGAACAGTCTGAACCAAGAGCATCCTCCCAAGGAAGCTGGCGGCTTGTGTAGTGACCAATACACACCTGTCCCCCAGGCCTGGAGCGCCCCAGGCTGCCGCTACACATGCAGATGTGACCCTTCACAGCTCGGTGGGTCGTGAGCCTCGGTTCACAGGTCTGACGGCTCGGGCACAGAGAGCACACACGTGTCGCTCAAAGCCACACAGCAAGTGCTCTCATTTCAGAGTCCATTCTGGGACTTCTCTTGCCATATCTTGCTGCCGGGGAAAATAATACATCCTTTTAGAATCCACTAAAAACATTCAGGAATTTAACACCGTCAGTCTTCCTGGCTGGACTCCGTTTATAAGCAACTACGGGCCTGAGGTCCCCTGCAAACGCCTTAGACCGCACACCCTCACTGTCACCCTTGGAGGAGGGGTTTGGGGGCTGTGCTATGGACTCTGGGTTTGTGTGACCCCTTGATTCATATGTTACAATCCTAACCCCCAGTGTGATGTATTAGGAGGTGAGGCCTTGGGAGGTGATTGGGTCAGGAGGGTGGGGTCCTCACGTGTGGCATTTGTGCCTTTTCAGAAGAGAGCTTGCCCTTCCTCTCTGTTGTCCTACATGTGAGGGCACCACAAGAAGACCTCCATTTGCAAACCAGGAAGCAGTTGCTGGACGCGGGATCCCGTACCTGGATCTTGGGCTTCTGGTCTCTAGCTCAGATGCCAACCGCCCAGTCTAGCCCCAAAATGACCGAGACAGGGAATTACAGAAGCTTTCTGAGGCTCAGTTACTCATTGGTAATGTGGTTGTGGTAATAAACAGGAATTTGGGGGGAAACACAATTCAGTCCATGGCAACTTGTGTCCTCGTAAGAAGAGGAAAGCATTAGATGAAGATAGACACACGGAGAAAAGGTCACTCGATGATAGAGGTGGATGAAGCAGTTACCAAAGGTCACCAAGGGCCATCAAAGGCGGATGCCCCCCACCAAGAGCCAGGAAGAGGTAAGGAAGGGTTCCGTTTGGAGCATGGCCTTGCAGACACATTGATGTTGCACTCCGGCTACCAGGATTGTGATAGAATTAATTTCTTTGTTTTAAGCTAACCAGCTTGTGACACCTTGTTATAACATCTGTAGGAAAGCATCACATTCATGAATTGACTATACTGACACCTTGTAGTTATGCCATTTTATGCCAACCCCATTTTCCCAACAGGTATTTGCTGAGCACCTTCTATGTGTCGTAAAACGTGCAAGGTTCTGGGGTAATAAGATTAGGTAGGACACAGTCTTTGTTCTCATAAAGCTTATAGTACTGTGGTTTATATGCACAAGTCAATAGAGCACAGCGAAATATTGTCATAATTACAACATGTGGGCCGAGCATGATAAGCCCTTGGGGCCACCTGGGAGGAAATTACAGCCCATCCTGGCGGAGGGGGGGTCAGGGCAGCTGAAGGATAATGGGTGAGAATAGCCTCAGGTGGGCACAAGGTGGGGAGAGACCAGATGGTGAGGTCCTGAGGCTTCAGCCAGAAGGTGAGAGGGAGCGTGAAGTGTGACAAGAACTGAGTCATTCCACGGACTGGACACAGAGGGCCAGGATGGGGTGGGAAGGAGACATGTGGCCGCAGAAGTCAGGAGGAGAGCTTTGTGCGGGACACTGTAAGCCGAGGCAAACTGAAGGAAACCAGGAACTTCATCCCCAGGAAATGGGGGTAATCAACAATTGTCATGATTTAATGTATTACCAGGGTTTAAATAGCTGGTGATGAAAGCCGGTTAATGACAACTGATCATGTCCCGAACCAGACACATATCCATGTGTGGCAGCACGCAGGAGAGTGTAACCGACGGCTCCTCCCCCAGAGGCAGCCGATCATGCCCTGACTTGACGTGGAGGAGGTGCACCTGCTTGTATTAACATGTTGGTCTGAAGGGCAGGCACCTAATTTAATGTACGTCTAGCAGTGCTCCGCTGAGATGCTCTCTGGGGGGTGAGGTGGTGGGTGCCACCTTCACACTTTTCCTTCCCCGCGCTTCAGAGTGTCATTATCTCATGGAAGGGGGCATCTGGTACCTGAATCTTTGCAGACACCGTGCAAGGACTGCCCTCAACTGCCTGACGCTGGAGGCCAGGGGAGCCTGGAGTCCCGGTCTCATGGGACTATAATAGTTGGTGTCATTCAAAAAGGAGCTCAGACCCCTGCTGAGCTGGTGCCCTGATTGCTGCAGCTGTTGCCAGAGGACAATTCTACATCATCTGGCTCTGGTGGCCAGGGGGACTTACACTTGTGGGTCCCACAGGACTGCAACAGATGGAGAAATAATTCTTAAACAGCTACGAACCCCAGAACACAGGAAGAGGCATCAGATCCAGGATCTCTGTCTTTCTGTGAAGGAGGCTTACTAGCTAATCATCATGGCTGTAGCCGGAGGGGCAGTCTTCTAATTAAACACACATCTGGGAGCCGACTGTAATCCTTCCCGGACACCTCAGAACGTAGATGTTATCTTCATGCTCTCCCTCTGCTGTGTTCCAGACCACTTGTGTGCAAGGTAGTTTACATGAACTGCTGCCCCAGATTTTGTGGCTGCTGTCCAGGGGACATCGCTTGGCACTGGTGCCCAATGGGGCTTGCACTTGTGGTCTCACAGAACTGTACATATTTACATATCTTAAAAAGCTGCTACCGAAAGGTCTGGCTTGCAAACAGCCTGGATCCAAGTACTGAGATTCTGATGGGTCTTGGCACATCTTCAGCAACTTGGAGTTATTAAAATTATAATAGGCTGCTTTGCACAAACACAGAAGTTTGACAACCAAGAGCTGGGGCACGGTTGAATGACAATGTTCTTCTCCTACAAGAAGTCACTCCTTCAAAACTAGGAGAGGTGATTGTCTCATCTAGGGCATAGAAGCTAACACAGAGAATCAAGCAAAGCAAAGAAACAGAGGATGATATTCTAAATGAAAGAACAAGATACAACCTCAGAAAAAAAAACCCTTACTGAAATGGAGATAAGTAACTTACCTGATAAAAGAAGTTCAAAATAACGCTCATAAGATGCTCACTGCCTGGGGAGAAGAATGGTTGAATATGGTGAGAACTTCAGCAAACAGAGGGAAAATATTAGAAAGTACTAAAGAAAAGTCACAGAGCTGAAGACAATAATTGAATTGAAAAATATACTTGAGGGGTTTAACAGCAGACTAGATGAAGCTGAATAAGGGATCAGTGAGTTTGAAGACAAGCCAGGGGAACTTATACAACCAGAGCACCAGAAAGAAAAGAGAATGAAAAAAAAGTGAGGCTAGTTTAAGGGACTTAAAGGACAACACCAAATGGGCTATCATTTTTATCACAGGGTTCCTAGGAGGAGAAAAAAGAGAGGAAGGGGCAAAAATTTTATTTGAAAAAATAATGTCTGCAGACTTCCCCAACCTGGGAAAGGAAATAGACATCCAGATCCAGAAAGCCAGAGAGTTCTAAATGAGAAGAACCCCCACTTGAAGACACATCACAATTAAAATGTTAAATGTAAATGCAAAGACATAATATGAAAAGCAGCAGGAGGAAAATCTCTCGTTACATACAAGATATAAGACACTCAGCAAATTTTTTTTTTAGCAGAAACTTTGCAGGCCACAGGTGGTGTGTGTAATCAACATGCTGAAAGAAAACAGTTCCAAGAATCTTCTGCCTGGCAAAGTTATCATTCGGAATTGAAGGAGAGATAGAGTCTTCCAGACAAGCATAAGCTAAAGGAGTTTGTCACAACCAAACCAGCTTTATATGAAATACTAAAGGGATTTCTTTAAGGTAAAAAGAAAGGGTGCTAAATAGTAACAGGAAAATTTATGAAAGAATAAATCTCATTGGAAAGGTAAATATATAGTAAAGGTAGTGGATTAATCACTTATGAATCTAGTGTGAAGGTTAAAAGACAAACGTAGTGACTTTTGTTTGTAACTAAAATTATAATAATTAGTTAAGGGATACACAAGATAAAAACATGTAAAATGTGACATCAAAAACAAAATGTGCAAGGGGAGTGAAAGATATTGAGCTTTAGAATGGGATCAAACTGAAGTTGTTACCAACATTGTTACAGATGTAAGTTATTATGTGTAAGCTTCATGGTAACCATGAAACAAAAACCTATAGTAAGCACACAAATAATATAGAGAAAGGAATATAAGTATACCATTAAAGAAAGTCATCAAACCACAAAGGAAGAGAATCAGGTAAGAAGAAAGGAACAGAGAGGAATTAAAAACACCAGCCAGAAAACAATGACCAAATGGCAAGAAGTACGTACTTATCAAGAATTACTTTATTTTTAAAAGTTTTTATTTTGAGAGAGAAAGCATAAGTGGGGAAGGGGAAGAGAGAGACTGAGAGAATCATAAGCAGGCTCCGCACTGTCAGCACAGAGCCTGATGAGGGGCTTCAACCCACAAACCCTGAGATCATGACTTGAGATCATGACTGAACTAGGAAGCTTAACTGACTGAGCCATGCAGGTGCCCCAATTATTACTTTAAATATAAATGTATTAAATCCTCTAATCAA